GGAAATGTTTAAAATGTGTTCTGGGGCCTCCCTGGTGGCACAGGTGGTTGAGCGCAGCGCTGTGAAGCTGTCCACAGCCTCTGCAGTGCCAGTTCAATCCCCACTAGCCGCAGAGCAACCCACACAGCGTGGCAGACCTTTCCTATCTCACCCGCTGCTCCCCTCAGCAGTATATTTTGGTCATTCTACCTATTCTGTTCCCCACTCGGTCTCTGGTGAATCCTCTCACCCTCCCGCACATCTGGCCTGTACCCTGGTTCTTGTATAAATAAAATAAATCTTTAGAAAAAAAATCAACCGCTCAAAAAAAAAAAAAATGTTTTGTCTTTCAACAGCGTGCCACAGAACTGTCCCACGGTTTTACAGGAAAAATTAAGACTTTAGCAATGTTATACTAAGTAAACCAGAAATATCATCTATGACCTGATATGTTGGTAAAATATTTAAGAGTCCATCTGAAATAATCTAGGACATTTCCTTTCCCAATAAAGAACAAATTATTGCATTTAGAATCTTCCATAATAAAAGTAAAGCATGGTATCTGCTAAGTCACTTTGAGTTTTGGAGACAGCAGCTTTCCATATCTGAGAATACTGTTTCTGGCCCAATATTCAATGATATGAAAATTTTCTGGCTTGAAGGACCCCAGAGCAGGAAAGGATATGACACAAGTCTCAAGTTGGGGTACAGCAAACCTGGTACTTGGGTTATAAAACCCAAGAGGCTCTATGAATTAGAAGTATCTGTGATGGGAAAAATATACTCTTGGAATTATAGTCAGTCCTGAATGAAAGATCACATCAGAGATATCTAAGATTCCATAGCTAAGTCATACCATCTGCAGCATTTAACAGACAGCTCTGACACATTTCTGGATCCTAGCAGAGATATAGGACCTTACCACATGTTATCTATTGTCTGACCTTGAGCCAGATTTGCACATCAAGAACAACATTTTGTTAGAACCAGGCATCATAAAATTGGTTAGGTCCAATAGCAATCCATTATAATATTAAAGTGGTACGTTTTGGAAATGGATAGAAGCAGGAACAGAGGCACAAGCAAAGTGCACAGAGAAGTGGTTCATATCCCCATGTCATCTACCTTTATGCTGGCATCTCTCACACAGCTTATACCTATTGCTGCCTAAGGACCAAGGGAGGGCACTTATGGCAATGGCCAGTGATGACCTAAATAAGCTTGATTTATAGATGCAAGTTTAAAATATATGTAGATGCCCTGCAACCTCACTCAGGGGTGTAAGTTTAAATCCTAACGATATGCACATTTCTGGGTAGTGCAATTGATTATTCACTTTGTGTGCAAGGGGCCTGAGCTTAGAGTATATATGGACTAATGAACAGTATAGCTTTTTCCAGGAGAAAAAAACACTGGAAATGGGGGACTGAATGGACACTGAGGTGAAGGGGGATACATTAATTCATGGGACTGGGCAAAGTGTGATGATCTTTGCATTCCAAGTTAACATCCACCAGAGGAAATAGATAACAAATTGGCACTTTCTTGAGGTTACATCATAGTCCAATTCTCTACTTTCCTCCCAGACGTTGATTTTGAGAATATTCCTCAACAACCTAAGATCTGTCTCTGAGGCCTTGCAAAAGAGAAATATACCATATGGTAAGTAACTATCTTTTCTGGAAAGTCTTTAGGTATGTCCCTTATTTAAATACTTCCACACTTTAAAAGCAATTTATGTCAAATAAAGTCATAAAGACTTTAAATATTCTCTTGTTATATTCAGGTTTTACAGTCAAATTACTTTCAAAGAATATTTGTTGTTTGGAGTTTTTGAATTTCAGAATTCTGGATTAGGGATCATAGACCATTGTGTAGAAGCTAAAGATCTTTATTTCTTCAAGATAGCTATAGTTTATACCATGTCTAATAAGCATAGTTCAAAAAAAGTCTGAATATTACTTAACAAATATGGAAATGTTTTAAATTAGTGCATAATTTGATATCCCTAAACTAATCCAAAAAAGGAAGATTGTGAATTACCAAATTGAAATTAACTTGACAGGTAAGTCACAATCTCAGTGTTCATCTACTTACTGCAACTTAGTTCAGAGTCTGATGAGCCACTCTAAAGAGTAAATTAGGGTCTCCCCTGGTGGTGCAGGTGGTTGAGTGCAGCACTGTGAAGCTGTCCACAGCCTCTGCAGTGCGGGTTTGATCCCGGCTGGCCAGAGAGGATCCCACATGGCGTGACAGACCTCTCCTGTCTCGCCTGCTGCTCCCCTCAGCAGTGTATTTAGTCAGTCTGCCTGTTCTGTTTCCTGCTCTGTCTCTGGTGAATCCTCTCACCCTCCCATGCATCTGGTCTATATCCCAGTTCTTGTATAAATAATCAATCTTTAAAAAATAAAGATGGTAGAGTAGGAGGATATTCATTTAAGAAAAAGAAATGTTCATCATCTAACCCCAAGCTACAATACTTTCTGTTCTGCAAGTGTCCGCAGATGATAAGATACATAACTTTAGATAAGAGGATATTACATCAAAAACCTAAGTTGTGATATGAAAGTGTTGAAGACAGAAAAACCTCTACTATCCTAGAGTTAGCATAGCTGTGAATTTAAAATACCAATTCAGAGATATAGTATCTTTAAATAAGTAAATAAATATGCAAACACACACATGTATTTATATATTTATACATATAATATACAAATATGTATATAATCAAAATAATTATTCTTTTAATCAATATAAAAATGATGAGAGTTACTGTTTTCAAGGACTTGGTTTTATATCTATCCCTCTGATCCTTATTCCCTGTCCATGTCATTCTTTTAATAACCCTGGGAAAAAGAAGAGAGATGACTACTGACATTCATATCTTAAAGAGGAAAAAGTAGACAACTAAACAGCCCAGTTACAATCATGTGACTAATAAGAGGGCAAAGTCAGGACCCATAGCCACTTCTAACCCCACATTCCTTATATTTACTACTCTATCGTATGCAGAAAGTAGACAAAATCATACAATCTGCATGTTGCAAATTGTAAACACTTCTTCCTTTAAATGACTGTGGACAAATACATCTATTTTTCAATCTTTGCAAGATATTGAATTGTCCCATTGGGTACTCCAAGCAAAGAAACTGCTCAAGCAAATAACAAGATGTGTATTTTACTGCATGTTGAAAGTTAGGCTGGTCACTTTGTTCTTTTGGCTTAATTTTTTTTTTTTAATTGAGGTTGCAATGGTTTACAGTTCTGTATATCACTCAGAGGTATAGGATCACACCATTTCAGAGGTGTGTTACCACATCACACCTGCCACCAATATAGTCTTCCATTCTAGCCCACTGGAACCCCAGCCTCCTTGTGCTCCCCTCCCCTCTCTGGTATGGAATCTATGGAATCTTAACTTTCAATCTCTGGGAGAGTAATCAATTTGGTAAGATCCCCTTAGCATTCCCTGTACATTTATTGCTCTTGTTTAAAACTAGATTTGATATTTAAATATTAACACTAGATATTCTACTATAAATAAGTAATGAGAAATAATTTTAGCAAAAATTTCATTGTCATTGGAAGCAAATCTTATTGATTATACAGTTTGCTGTTACCTAAGTACTTTTCTGAGAAACTGCGCAATTTTCAAAAATGTTTCAGTGTAGTGAAATAATGAGCTTAGAAGACAATGACACTGAACTCTCACCACAAACATGCCACATCCTTACTGAGACTTCGTAATTTTAATTTTTTGAATTTTAATGTTTGTGACAAGGCAGCGATAATATCCATATACAAAGGAATTCACAATACTGTTACACATTTCAAACTAAAATGAATTTACATGAAATTCCTTTCTTTTTAAACCATGCTCCATTTAATAAGGTTATTCTTCTTTTGTTACTTACGTGGGCATTTCTTAACACAGAAGGCACCGTATGTGTACTTTGCATTGAAGTTATGTTCCAATTGAAAAGTGGTTGGGTTGTAGACAAAAGTTTGGGGACACTGTGTAACGCATGCTCCACTGTCATTGAAATTCATACAGGCCTGCAATGTAGCAAACATCACTTTCATTCAAAGATAACAATATTTGTTAAAGGGATACTGCTACAAAAATTGCTTTACTTAGCATTCCATGTTCTTTTATGTCAATTTCATAAAAAGCTGCACAGTTGAATTTTACAGCTGTTTGTATTTAATTTTTTCAGTTCAAATTCGTTTCTAACGTAAAATTCTACAAAGATTTTCCCCATGTTAGTAAATACACCATTTACATTCTTGCTTGGATTCAATCATTCATTTATCTGATAAACAATGAATATCTCACATATCCTGGCATTGAGGTAGACTTAACGGATTTCAGAGTTTATAAAATAGACATTGTCTTTGCTTCCATGGAGTTAATGGGCTAATAAATAAATCAAACATGTATACCATCTATCCTTCTGGATGTTCAAATTGTTTGGTATGTATACACCAACTTCTAAACTGAGAATTTAGAAGCTCACACTTATTTATGTTTAATCTTCGAGTCTGAATTGACAACTTAATCCCCACTTGCACACACCAGACTTTTCTTAAAGCTGGTATTTGGAAAGTTCAGTGCCTTAGGGAAGCACAATGGGAAACACAATCATGGACACTGCATGATGCGAAAACATAGTGATGGTCATTTACCCTGGGCTTAAAGAAACTGCTCTGGCAGGTTACTGTCAATGTGTAAAAATGGTGTGTGTGCGCCAAAATTTGCCAAAGTAGCTATAGAGAGCCCATAATAAAATAACATGATGCCATTTCTTGTGCCATCTTTCCATAATGACACAGCACTTAGTTAAAGCTACTAAATTCAATGAAAACAATTCATTTCTGCTTATTTACATATTTGTATTGAGATCTCAATTTTTAATATTTAAAAAAAATTTAATTAAACCATTTGCCATCTGAGAGTTAGACACTTGATATAAAAATAGAACAGAGGTGTAAGTACATAAACGTGGTTAACAAAAGAGTAGACAAACTAATTATCTTAATTAAAATATTAAATCTTCATAGGAAAAATTTAGGCTTTGGATGGCAAGCTATAGTTTACAGTTTATCATAAATCGTATATGTATGGTTATTAAGAAGCATTAATTTATGTTGTTTCCTCAAAACACTTTCTTCATCAATTGTTGTTTTGGCAAGTACTTTATCATAAACATGACAATTCCCTGAAGATGGTCTACTAGATGCATAATCAGAACAAGACTCACTGATGATATATTATTCACTAAGTTGACACTTTCCAGGAAGGGTCTATTAAAAACCAATCTAGAAAACTACGTAAGTTTTAATTTATGACTGTAAAACTTCATGTGTCCTCATAATTGCTTATATAACATACTTGATGCAGTGCCATGCACAGATTACTTAACAACAAAGGGACATACTTGAGCAGGCAGAATCAACCAAATTTACTTTGTAGACTGCATGTAAATGACAACATAACTTACACAGAGGCTTGGAAGTGGCATTCTTGAACATTTTCTACCAAATGCCAAATTGGAATCACTAGACAATTCCATAAAAGTAGTGAAATGAGAATGCTGAAGCTCACCGATGCTTAACATGATGATGGGGGGAAAATGCAGAGAAAAATATCTAACAAAAAGTTACGACTGTTGTCTGTATGCCTCAATTTCATTGCTTTGGAATTGTTAACATGACAAATGGTTCAATGTTCTCGAATCAAGTTTACATCCTATGAGTGGCAACATCAAGGAAAAGTCTCAGTTTAAGATCTGCGGAGCAGAGGTGGAGAAATGATGATGACAATAACTGAGGGGGAAAATCTCTTGTGAGAAAACAAAGATGTAAAACAATGGCACTTCATTTTTAAAAAATAATTTAAAAATAAAAAAATTTTAAAAAGACCTGAGTAAATCCCTTAAAATTTTCAACATTTTCCCTTTCTTCTCTTCCGCCATACCTACTCACTCTGTAATACACTTTTGCTTCACTAGCATATTAGGCTAGACAAGGGAAATTTTTTATAACATTAAGGAAATTAAGAAAGCATTGCCTATATCACAAGAAATGTAATTTATGTTTTGCTTGCTTCCAGATTAAGTGCTTATTTGAAAAACAGTGCTCATGTATATATTATTATCTATATCTAGATATTGATATCTATATTTATAGATATGTATATTTAGATATATATGATCTATTTAAGTGTGTATATTTTGATATATATTGATATATACATATTCTTAAGTGCTCTTAAGGGGAAAAATAAATTCCAGTTTTCATTTTCAGGAGCAAAAGTAATTTCCTATTTCATGATTTTTAGCTTACAATGAAACTAATCTTCTGTTGGATGTGTATATGAAGTTGTGTAAACTGTAGTTCACAGAATTGTTAATATGTGTGGAACAAAAACAGCTATATCAGGATGTCAGAATATAATTAAAAGTGTCCCCAATAAGTTTGAAATGTTAATTTTAATGAGTTAAATTGTCTTCTAAAATAAAAATCACATGGATCAGCATATAAATTTAATATATATATAATATATAATCTGAAAATAGTTAAATTCACAAATTTACGTACTTGAAAATCTACATTCAAGAATGAAATTAAGTGCCCCCACAGACAAGACCCAACAATGCAAAAACACGAAAATGAAATCACTGTAAATTTTGGAAGAATGTTATTAGTCTTTGAAATGATATCTCAATACAGTCCCTTTCACATTCTCCAATATCACTTAAATTATATCAGAAGGACATAATTCACTTAGTAGAAATGAGCAATTCTAGTTAATCAGTAGCCACCCAGTGAGGGAATGGCTTCCAGGAAAGGAGAACATCGTTCTATAAACCAAAAAATGTGAAATTTGATATTATTTTAATAAGACATTAAAGATTCCATGTGCGTGAGTCAAATTGGGAGAGGGAGAACAGGAGGAGAGAAAGAGACATACAAAGCAGTCAGTGTCCTTGGGTCCTGAGCAGCCTCCAGCACATTCTCTGTGGCAGCAATCACTGACGTAGGGTCCATAGCACCTGCCATCACATTGCTCTGCACACACCGTCCTTGTCACTGCAGAAGACAGAGAAAGCCTAGATCAAAGTCTGCCACAAGGGAAATTCCTAAGGTTATTTAGAATAGCTGAGAACAGCTGAGCACTGGAGTGGTAATTACTCAGCACACAGTATTGACTCAATTCAGCAAACATTTACAAGGTGAAGGCTGAACCTAGATCAAAATTACTACACAAAATGCTTCAAAATTAAAACAAATTTATTTTACATACTTTCTTATTCCGACAGTGCTTTACAAAAATCATACAATTTAACAAGCAGGAATCAATTTTGAAATAAGTGAATGAGGCACTTTGGCAGGTTGGAAAAGATGGAGATGTACGGGAAGTCAATTCACAATGTTCATGGTGAGGTCTTAAAGCAGAAAGTGTCCTCAGACATAAATCTAAGATTTTTAGCTGACAATGCAAAAAAGGAAACAAGCTTTTAAATGATTCCCATTTTATTTTATATGATTTCTCTCAGAGAGATGGACAGAGAGACAGACTGATCAGTATTATCAAAACTATTTATATTCCTGTGTTTTAAGTGAAATTTCTACCAAAATTATTCATAAAAATGACCTGTGCAGGGGATGGAGAGATGACAGGAGGGAGTAGGAAAGGGAAAGAGGAAAACGATGGAGGGAACATTAATATCTAAAATATATAAAGAACTCTATAACTCAACAAAAACTCAAACAACCAAGGCAGTCCAAATTGAGCAGAGAATCTGAATAGATTCTTCTCCAAAGTAGACATTCAGATTGCTAACAAAATCATTTACAAATGCTCAACTTCATATATTATTAGGGATTGCAGATCAAAAGCACGATGACATATGACCTCACCCCTATGAAAATGGCAAATATCAAAAAGACTATAAACAATCTGTGTTCACAAGGGCGTGATGAAAAAGGAATTCACACTTTTTTGGGAATGTAAATTAGGGCAGCTCCCTTGGAAAATGGTATGGATATTCTTTAAAAATCTAAAAATGGAGGTAACATATGATATTTATTTATTTATTTATTTATTCATTCATTCATTCATTTATTTATTGCATAGAAAAACTGGGGTGTAGGCCAGAGGTGCAGGGGTGAGAGTAATCACCAGAGACAGTGAGGGGAGCAGAACAGGCAGACTGATTGAAATACATTGCTGAGGGGAGCAGCAGGCAAGACAAGAGAGGAGAGGTCGGCTGCACCATATGTGGGTTAGCTCCCTGGCTGGGGAATGAACCCAAGTCTCAGCTTTGATAGCACTAAGTCTTAACCCTTAGGCCACCAGGGAGGCCCTGGAAGTGCCATATGATTTAGAAATACCTCTTCTAGGTATTTATCTAAAGAATATGGAAACACCAATTCAAAAATGTTTATGCTTCCTATGTCAGTAGTATTATTTTCAATAACTAATACATTGAAATAACCAAAATGTTCATGAAAAATATGGATGTCTGGATAAAGAAGTTGTATATATGCTCAATAGAATACTACTCATATATCCAAAAAATGAAGTCTTGCCTTTTGCAACAGCATGGATGGAACTTGAGGTGATTATGTTTATGTAAGTCAGAAAGTGAAAGACAAGTATCAATAGTTTCTTTCATATTTGGAGTATAAATAACCCAAGGAAATGAATTAGTAAATCACAAAAAAAACTCCTATGGTCTCCAAAAATATAGTGTTTACCAGATGGGAGGATGGGGGTGGAAGAGAAAGGTCGAGGACATCATCCTTATAGTGAGAAGGACACCAGAACTTTGATAGTTGGTGAGGTGAGCTTATACACACAGAGAATGATCCTTCCAAATTTACATAGTTTCAGAACTCAATGGCAAATAATAAAATTTTATTAAAAATAAGGAAACTTATTTGTTTGCTTGACATATAATAATGTAAGTAACCGTAAGAACAAAACAATAAGCTTTAATTCCAAAAAGTGATTTGACCTAGTTAAGAAACATTTCTTCATTATTGTTATAGGAGACTTCTTTTTAGAAAGAAAATAATTCCTTTAAACACATCAGGCTGGATGCAAAACAAGTGGAAGAGATGCAAAATGTAAATCTATTTAATGGCATTTTTGATTTATAAGAATGATTCATATGAATTAAACACATCAAACTAAATTCATATTTTATTATGATGGAGACCAAAAAAAAATGTTCCTGAAATCAATGAGATAACTCACTTAGCCTCCATGGGAACATTAACTTATAATTGCTTTGGTTATATTAATTTCCATCCTTGCTTGAATATTATTTCATTATACTTTCCCCCTGTATATAGTATTCTTTCTAAATTGCTTCATTGGGTGTACTAAAATATTTGGGTCGGATTTCAACTAGCTTATTCATTGGTGGTACATCACTAACTATGATTGCTTAACATGAAAGGTAAAATCTGGAAAATTAAAATGCTTATTACATTAGGGTCAGTAAACTTGAAATTGGGAATGATCACTTATTTAAAATATCAGTGTGAATATGACAGATAAGTTTAAGCAACCAAACATTATATAGGAAGGGGATACTGCTAAAAGAATATCTAATATCTCAAAAAATTGAAGTATTATAAGTAGCTTTAACATATCTCACTAATAAATATATAGTGATGCAATTATTTCTTTAACTGTGATGATAACAGTTCGAACAAATTAATTTTGTTAAAGACAATTTGCTAATCAAATTAGTTTGGCAATTTACTAATCAAATATTTATTGTTGCTTCCTATGCAAAACAAAAAGAAACAAAGACTATTCATGAATGATGAATACAGACAGCACTGGCATCTTAGTAACAAGACAAAGGGTCTCTGTCCATTAAAAATAAAAAATGCATCTACCTTACAACTACTCTATTTCTAGATATCTACCCTAAGACTATAAAATAATTTGAAAGGATATATGCACTCCTATGTTTATTGCATCCCTATTTAAAATATCTAAGTTATGAAAACAGCTTAAGTGCCCAAGGACAGAGGAGTGGATCAGTGTAAGGGCAGGAACGGGCACAGTGCAGGTTTTCTGATCCCATGCAGATCGGGTAAAGGAGGAGTCAGAGTCCTCAGTAGTTTTGCAGGTTTTTTATTTGGGGTTCACCAGGCATATGGCAGGCAGGGGTGCTGGCTGGGGGGCTGGGAGGCTGGCAGGCCTCCCAGCCCCCAGCAAGTCCTCACTCTATCTGGGCTCTCTAGCGTTCGTTCTGCTGCTTCTCGGCTTCGGCTGCGGCTGCGGCTGCTGCTGGTGCTGGTGCTGCTGCTGCTGGCGTCCCCCCGTGACGCCGCCCTTAAAAAGCACAGTCTTAGCTCAGCTGAATCCCATCTACCTATGCCCACACCCTATTCCAGGTGCCCGCCATCAGGCATGCATTCAGGACAAGGATCCATCATCTATCCTGATGGCGGAAGGGCAGAAAAGCCTGACATTTTCTTTACCCTACAGTCCACCCCCTCAGGGTTTTCTGCCATACAGTCTATACATATATACACAATTTTCTAAGCAAACAATGCAGCCATGGCCCACAAAAGCAAATACATCAAATAACAAAATACAACATAACAAAATACAACAGAACACAAATAAGCCCAGGCAGGGCACCAACCAAGTGCAAAAGACAATTATTGGTACCAGCAGATGAGCCACCAAATCTGCTGCCGAAGGCACTGCTCATACGAGGGAGGGGAAATCACACACGGCATCTGCTATAACACACCAGGAGCCGTCAGGCTTCCTGGCCTTCTCTGGCTGTAGTCTCGGCTACAAGGCACACACAGCATCCACCCCCAGGATGCACTAGCTCTGGGATTGGCAATTTTATTCTGTTGGGGGTAATCGCCAACCCTCAGGGTTTCTGTCTGCAGTCGCTCCAACACTCGGCCTTCATGGCCACCCATGCGACTCACAGACCCCTGCTCTCAAGCCAACCCACTGCACAAGCACATGGGTTGGGGATCCAAACTTTGCATTTGGCTTGGGCTCCACCCCAAGCCACATTCCCCACCCGTCCCCCAAGGACGGGCTCCTCAGCTCCTCACCCTCACTCAAGAATGAGCAGGGCATCACCCATAGGTGATTTTACGAGACTCACAGGACTTCAGCATACCCAGGCTGCTTAACAGCCGCTTTAGGGCTTCTCAACTTAGCATCAGTACCAGCTTTTGCTTTCTTAGTTGGCTTTTCTCCTCCACCTGGCTGCTGGGCATGCACAGGCTGCTTTTGGCCATCTAGGCCCACTGGCCACCCCCAGATTCTCAAAAAAAAAAAAAAATAACCTGCCAAGGTCCTCCGCCTTCTGGCGGGATTGTCAGTCCAAAATCATCAGTTCATCAGTCTATCAGTCCATTGGCCTCTCCCTGCTTCAGCAATGGCCTGCTGCCTCAGGGGTCATTGGCTGGTCCTTTCCGGTGTCGTTGGCTGGTCCTATCCGGTGTCGTTGGCTGGTCCTTTCCGGTGTCGTTGGCTGGTCCTTTCGGGCGTCTCCTTCACGCCAGGTCTCATCCTGTAGCTCGTGGACGTATCCATCTTCTATACCGCCATGGTGCCTCCAGCGTCGTCACAGGCAAAGTCTGTTCTCCTTAGTCCCTCCAGGTCTTCGGAGGGCTCCAATACCCGTCTGCATGGATCTTGCCGACATACGCCAATTGTAAGGGCAGGAACGGGCACAGTGCAGGTTTTCTGATCCCATGCAGATCGGGTAAAGGAGGAGTCAGAGTCCTCAGTAGTTTTGCAGGTTTTTTATTTGGGGTTCACCAGGCATATGGCAGGCAGGGGTGCTGGCTGGGGGGCTGGGAGGCTGGCAGGCCTCCCAGCCCCCAGCAAGTCCTCACTCTATCTGGGCTCTCTAGCGTTCGTTCTGCTGCTTCTCGGCTTCGGCTGCGGCTGCGGCTGGTGCTGGTGCTGCTGCTGCTGGCGTCCCCCCGTGACGCCGCCCTTAAAAAGCACAGTCTTAGCTCAGCTGAATCCCATCTACCTATGCCCACACCCTATTCCAGGTGCCCGCCATCAGGCATGC